AAGATCTGTTGGTACAATGGATGTGAAGATAAGCACTTATTTATTTTGTAAGATGAGTAATGGTAATAAAGACAAAAAGAGTCTTACAAGATACATTTCAAAATATGGAGCTCTATACAGTATATACAGACTTTTGGACAATCAGGACCAGATAATCATAATACTGTACTGAACAGTGGTCCCTCGGTTAACGAACGGTTCGATTAACGAAATTTCGGTTAACGAATTAGCTCCCATAAGGATTTTCAGTTCGATTAACGAACAAAACTTCAATTAACGATATCCTTACGACAAACATGTTTTGTTGTGCGCATCAGCTGATCGGCTAGTCCGCCAATACAGGAATTGGTTCTATGTTTACATTCGTTTCCAGTGGAGTAAATATCAATGAAGTTGGTCTCTTGAATATTTTTGCATTTTTACATTAAAATTATTGGTCATTCTGAAATTAATGTTAACATATTGATAATATACAGTGCAGAAATTATTATGAAACATGAAGAAGGCATTAGAACCAATGGACTCTGTAAAGAATATGGCAAGTCATCATTAACTGCCTCTACAATCAACTGTTTGATAAGTAAACAAAGCTGCCGGGAATACGACATACACACCTCAAAGTAAGTTAAAATACGGTATTCTATTGTTTTTTATTTATTATTGTACAGTATAATGTACAGTACAGTACTGTCTTAGGTATATATTTAATGTTTTGTTACTTCTATTACTGGTATACAGTGGTCCCTCGGTTAACGTGCACAATTCGCCTTTTTCAAACTCTGAGATGCTCTGGTCACTAGAAAATAAAACACACCAAAAAAATATTTTAAATGGGGAAGATTAATAAAAAAAAAATCTTATGAAATGATCAACACTTACTGAATACAGTGGTCCCTCGGTTAACGAGCACAATTCGTTCCAGAAGGTTGCTCATTAACCGAAAAACTCGTTAACCGAAACCATTGTTTCAATGGGTTTTTGGGTAATTGGTTCCAGCTCACCGAAAATTGCCTAAAATCAACAAAATAGGTACACTTACTTTGAGGTATGTATGTAGAAGGCTCCTGGATGATGATGATGGGAATTAGAATGGGGTGGAGGAGAAGAGAAGGCATTGGGGTGGAAGAGAAGTCACCTCATGGTGCCATTTCACCCATAAAATTTTAGTTCTCTTGGTGTAATTCAAGATTATTTTCTTTAAATCAACAATGCACTGCATTACATATTGTCAGTATGTAAAATAAATTTCAAAATGACCAATAAGTTGCTTGGAAGCACAGAAAAAAAGTGTTTAGTTGAAGAGAGTCTCAAGCAAGATGTTACCTCCACTGAAAAGACACAAGAGACTGACGCTTGTTTGGTGTGTTGACAGGCTGTTTTGCATGCATAAAACTAGTTTCTTTACCTTCAATTATGTTCAATAATTGTTAAAATGACAAAAAAATTTAATATTAAACTTATAAAATAATTGAATAGTATAAACTTCTTGATATTTACTAAAATAGTAAGGAATTTAAGCCCTAGAACCGATTACTGTATTGGCGGACTAGTACTACAGCTGGTGGACCGCCAAATGCAAGCGAAAACATGCTAGGTCCGCTCGTAAGAAACTCGTTAATCGAGGGATTGCTCGTTAACCAAAGTTAAGAATCTTATGGAAGGTAAATCGTTAACCGAAATCTCGTTAACCAAGGCGCTCGTTAACCGAGGGATCACTGTACAGTACTTTGTATATACTTTTTCTGTGAGTTGGAACCAATTACCCAATATCCCATTGAAATAATAGATTCGGTTAACGAAATTTTTGGCAAACGAACGACTCTGTTCATTAACCGAGGGACCACTGTATTGGTATTTATGTGTGTAATAACCACTAAAAGTACTCAAGTCATTTTGTGCCAATCTGTATCACTTAAAAGTTTAATATAATATATAAAATACTAATAGGGGAAATTGATTCTTGAAACAACAATGTTTCCTAATTCACAACCATGATAAACAGCACCACCCAGTAAATCCAGTCACAACTTGAAGCAATTATTGTCTATTTTCTAATTATAATACTGTAATTAAAGCTGAGAATGATCTAATAACTACAGCCTGATTTAATTTACGATAAAGATTTTTCCACAAATTCCAAATAAATTGTTCTATATTCAACTATCAGAGTTGGAACAATAATTTAAGGGAAGGGATAAGGGGAATAGAAAGGGCAAAGGAGATATGTAGTGATGGGAAAATCATGTAGCTACCTCCATCAAGGAGTAGTGAAGCATCATAGATAAGAAATTTGATCAATGAAAACAATTCTTTTGCACATACTAAGCTGTCTCTATTTGATAAACAAGCCTTCTTTTTCTTCAAATTACTCCACAATAAGTCATACTAATTATACAAAAACAATCTTCATATTGATTTTTTTTTTACAGCAAGAATATCTATTTTTCTTAAATTCTAAAGTCCAATAAAACAAGTGCCTATGTCCATCATCTGTCCTTCACCATCAAGTGGCTACATATACCATGATTCACCCAGTACTAGGAATTAAGTTTAAATCATCTGGCTATATTACAGCTTGGAAGAAGACTGACCTGCCTTTCACTTGGCAACCTTATTAGTTTTAGTTCACCGTGCTGGCGGATCTATCAGGGCAATTGTTATTTGGGGTTCCCAAGTATAATTATCCTAATTTACTGATGATAAACCAAAGTTTAGATTTAAGTGTTAGTTTTTGAAGTTATATATTTCTTCCAAATGGCAATATTTAGGATATACTGTACATCCCCTACTTCTATTACTGAACATGCCATGACAGCCAGTTGGAAGTTACACCTAATGGCCCATGAAAAACAGTTTTCTCCATGGCTGATTAAACCCTGTATAAAAGAGCAAGTTTGATCTTAATTTCAGACATTACAGAACAGATTCATCATTTAAAAGGTCTTCCAAGAGTACTATACAAGACACAAAAATGACATTCAGCAAATCTACTAAAGGTAAAAACTCCTGTTATGGAACTGTAGGGTTGTGTGCAGGTTGAGCAGGACACTGAAAGACTACTGATGAAGAATAATATTTCTTCTTAATATAAGAGGAACCAGATAGTACTGGACATGATCCCTCTAATACTGGTAATTACCAGTAATATCTTTCTCAAAACCTCTTTGGCCAAGATACTTTGTTTGACACAGAAGCTACAGAGAAAATTGGCACATTGACACTTTATTGTTCTCATCCCTACCCTTTCCTATTACTGTACTTATACCCATCAAAATCCTCAAACTAAGCAAATTCAGTTGCATATGACATCAATCTTGACAATAATCTTTTACGTCACACTACCCATAATCTCTTAATCCAATACTTTTCAGACTGTCTACTGCAGGGGTGTCAAACTCATTTGCCAAGGCGGGCCAGATTTAGTATGAGTACACAGTATGCGGGCCAAGTAACATAATTATGAGCACTTCGCAATCACCTCTTAGGTGAGTAGTACGACAAAATAAGAAAGGTGGATTTAGTTTGCGCTCGTGCAAAAGCCTTACAAACAAACAAATCAAGTGTTTACTTACCTTGATCAATCTTATTGTTTGCTACTGCTGCTTCCTGATAATTGGCACCTCTTGGTATGGACCAGTGCAACAAAGTTTGGCACTAACGACTGAGCTGTAGCAAGCTTCAGTATTGAATTAAGGTGCGCATCATTGCCGAGACTTGTTCAAGTTCATCACAGAAAAGAGATTATCACAGACATATGTACTTCCGAACATTGACATAATCTTTGAGGCAAAACATTTAATCCTGGGATAATTTGGTCCAAAATATTGATAAAATGTGCCACCATCAACACTCGAAAACTTGTTCCTCAACACAGAATCACACTGAAGCTCAATTAATTCTAACTGAAGATGTTCTGGTACCTCATTAACACCAACAGAGAATGAGTCCCGAAAAATGAAAAAATCCTTCTCAAATCTTTTTAAGTCGGCAAATCTTTCTTGGAACTCATTCATTAATTTGGAAATCTTGATGCAGTACTTTTTTGTGTTGATATCAGCATGAAACTCAGGTGTGCCTTGCAGGGACTTCAGGGTCGGAAAGTGAGAAAGATTACTCTCTGATAGTTGCTGTTCAAAAAGCTGATGTTGATATGAGTATTTTGTTCTAGGAAACAGCAGACTATTTTATTCAGCTGAGGGATACACTCACTATTTAGTTTAAGCTCCTCAAGGTAAGGCTGGAGCAGCAAATGGGCCGCAGGCCGCACGCAAAAGTGTGTCAGGCCGCATGTTTGACACCCCTGGTCTACTGCATATACAGTGGGGTATGCTATATCGAACGGATCCTACTACGAATATTCCTATAACGAACGGTTTTACCTATAAAATTGAGAATGCTAAAACGAACGAAACTCGTACAACGAACATTATTTAAATTTTTTTTTTTTTTTACTAATTTATTGTTTTTTTATTACAAGTATTAATGATATTCTTTATTTCAAGGGTTTAGATGCATATTTATTAACTTTTTTACAATTTTTACGATTTTATATTATATTTTTCAGTGTTAAGTGGTTGTATTTGGGGGCCTGGAACGGATTAATCCTATAACGAACGAATGCTATAATGAACAAGGTTCTAGAACCAATTAGATTCGTTATAGCATACCCCACTGTATCACTTTCACACTCATCATTTGGTCATATTACTACTGTACTAGAGACAGTAGTTCTGGAACAAGAGCAATAATACTTCTAAAACTCAAGCACCAAGTATTATTCAAAATTAGACAATTTTAAGCTATGCTTTTTTGAACACCCTTTGAACCCATTTCCTTAACATATCTGAACTTACTAAAAATTCTTCTAGATCATTTTCATTCTTTCTCTTTATATTTTTTTCGGTAAATTATTTACCATTTTCAAAACAGTGTCTGCTCTTGTTTTACTTTATCATGGGGGGACGGGGGCTAGAGGAGGCAGAGGGATAAATTAAATCCAATTTCTTGACAAAATGAACTCTAATTATACTACATATTAACCCTCATCCTGCAGATTTTCAAATCATCTTCTCACAGACGATGGATGTTGTCCCTACAGCTAACTTCCACAGATGATGGCTGCTGTCCCTACAGCCAACTTCCACAGATGATGGATGCTGTTTAAGGGTTAATAGTAATATACTTCAACACAGTGCAGGTCAAGCTCCACATGAATGTAAGGCACTGTTTCTGCAACAGCAATTTATCTTTTGTTGCTCATGTGTCTCTCTTTTGCTGCCTACTAAAATAAAATGCATTTAATTGTCTGTGAAAAAAGATATATGGTTGCCTCACAAACATTGGGGCAACTACCTGGATTAAACTCACCCATGTATATATACTAAAACTTGATAATGAATAGACACCAAAAAACTGTCTACACAGTCAGTGGTGGATATAAATTAATGAATTGGTATGTGACAGGTTAATAATTATGGGGTCATTAATGGGTACATAGAGGAAGCTGGTGGAGGCTACAGTATTCATTGTTTTATATATATATATATATATATATATATATATATATATATATATATATATATATATATATATATATATATATATATATATATTGTTCCTCCACTTGGTGTGGGATAACCATCAATAAGACTGCAATAAACATAAACACTTGTCTTAAATGAACTTGGAATGGAAAAATTCTGTATACATTATCGCTCTACTTCTAACTCCCTTATAATTACCAGCTTTGCAACTTATACTACAATTCCTCGACATTAATGTGCACTATTCTCACTAAGTTTTTCAGTGCAGAAAATAGCGTTCCCAAGTGGCAAAATTTTCTCACAGCCTTCATATCTATACAGTACATGCTATCTTTGGATTCACTGCTAATCTTATCCTATGATGACAAACACAATACGGTGTAACTTAAATAAATTCATTATGCACTTTAAATATCCTACATTACCCAAGTCACTTACGAAACAAACAACAATAACCTCGTAACTTCAGCACACAAAAAATGACATGGAATTTCTGGTTCACAAAAATATTCTAGTTGTTGGTTAGACAAGTTTTTTAATGGCTAAAGTTTTAAGCAAAATACAGTAAAGGGGGTTCCTGACCTATGAATGTCCGACTTATGAACACCCATAAGGTCAATTATTTAAAAAATCAGACATAAGTACAACTGGTTCGTAGTATTAACGTACGAGAACTAGTTTGCGTGGCAGAGCAGTGAGGCAGAGCGGCGCTTGGGGAGTAATGAGTCGCCCAGCCATGCGCCTTGAGGGAGCATCAGTAAGCTTTACCCTCAATGTGCTTGATCAAGTGCAAACTGTTGTTTTTTGCTTATTAACTCTCTTTTTTGGCCCTCATCATGGCTTCCAAATGCAAACCTGATGCAAGTGATAGTAGTGCATCCAAGAAAAGGAAAACAATTGCAATGGAATTTAAAGTTGATGTAATTGAACATTCTGAAAAAGGCGAAACACCCTCAGTGATAGGAAAAGCTTTGGGTTTCAGTCAGTCAATGATCGGAACAATTTTGAAAGACAAACAGAAAATTCTTGAATACAGTATGTAAAAGGATCTACACCAATGCACTCAACTGTGATAACAAAACAAAGAAGTGGATTGTTAATTGAAAAGGAAAGATTGTTAGTGATATGGGTGGAAGATCAAAATCAACGGGATTTGTCTCTAAGTCTAACTGACTTGAAGGTTAAACGTGGTGGTGAAAGTGATGGGGAAGATTTTGTTGCTAGTAGGGGCTGGTTTATCCGGTTCAAGGTAAGGGTAAATGGTGTTTAGAAAAAACACTGTCCACAATTTGTCCACAATTTCAGGGGCTTTGAAAACGATGTTGGGGAAGTGACACAGACAGTGGTAGACCTTGGGAGTCAACTCCAGCTTGATATTCATGAGCACGATGTCACACAGTTGATTGATTCTCATGCTGAAGAATTAAGCAATGAGGACCTAATTAAACTGGAGAAGCACATTTTGTCAGAGGATGTAGAGGAAGCTGAAACTCCAGAACCAAAGGGATTCATTACAAAAGAAATGGCAGATGATTTTAGGCTTATCGAAGAAGGAATGTTTAAATTTAAACAGCAAGATACCAACACGGCAAGACTCACCAAGATTCATAGAGGTATTACTGAACATCTACAATGCTACAGAGAGATTTATGATGAAAAGATGAAAGTTTCAGGTCAACCATCCCAATAAAGCCTCTGTCACTCCTACAAATGACCATCTCTACACACAAGCCAGTCCCAGGTTTCAATATACAGTAAGTGTTAAATTATAATTTTTACTTTTCTTTACTGTAATTTAGGATTCAATTTCTTCTATTCTCTTAAATTAGGTGATTCGAGATGTATAAAATGACTAAGGCTTAGTGCACACAGGGTATGAGTTCCGACTTAGGCACATTTCTGACTTAAGAATGTCCTCAGGAATGGAACCCGTTTGTAACGGGGGAACCCCCTATACTGTATATACAGTATTTGTTCCAATATGATCACTGTACTGTACTTATCTAATTTTAATACAGCAGGCAGTAAACTGTTATATATTTGTTAGCTTCTGCATCAGCTGTTCATCAATTTCTTTTTGTGCTCTATCATGAGTCAATAGAAGAAGTCAAACTTGGGTAAAGTTATTTGAACAAGTTAAGTGATAAAACAAAAACACATAATAAGTTTATATACTGATGTATATCAACATAAACATAACATTTCTTTACAAATTATTGACTACAACAAAATCAAGATTCTACAAGGTATGAATAATGATAATGCTGACTACAAATTATATTAAAAATATAGGGCTTCCTAATTAACTAAATACATACCTGATTTTTGGTTCACTCAAGTATTTTTTGCTTGAATGAAAGAATATTTATACCAAAATATTAAACAACAGTAAATAATCTCATGGATGAAAAATGAAAAGCAAATGCTGGAAAATTTCTTGTAGAAGACCTCAACAGAAACAACTGAAGAAAAGCAACAAGTGCTCGTTTTCTTAGAAGACTGGAATTTTTTCTCGTGGAGTGTGAGCTAAGTCGTCATCCAGAGTGAGGAGGAGCTGTAAACAATATGATGTACATATTAAATACTGACTTCATGACCTTGAGATCTGTCACCTTCACCAGTAAACGAAAGCTAATACAGTAATAAGTTCTGGGATGGTTAGACACCATATATGCAGACTATGTTCAGGGCAGCTGTTCAGTGATTCTATCTTCTGTTTGATGAACTTTGAGTCCAAGGCAAGACTGTGAGTTAAGTTTGCAATTTTTCACAAAATTCCTACAAACTCCTTGAAAATGCTCCAATTAAAGCAAAGAAATACATGTGTGGGGATGTCTTGTCTTCAGAAAACAGTGATGGGAAGAAATATTCAAATTTGGTAATTCTATTACCTGATCTGGAGACTTAATGTTCCTCCAATGATAGTTGGTGGGTAACAACAAAGAATACATAAGAAAATTTAATGAATTTATATACTTTATGATTTCTATTGAGATGTTTGTTAGGAATTTATTGATTTTGTGGTAATACTGAAGTACAGTATAGCAACATTCTTCAATCTTGTGTGGCAATGCTGGAATGGGAGAAGCTAACTGACAAAACAGTCATTGCATTAGATATGACGTAAACTTTTAACCCGCTTGTGCACAATGACGTGAACCGCGTCATATTATTGGGGAGCATTAACTGCCTCGGTGAGGTGAATTGCGTCATAAAACTTTTAAAAATTCTCACCCAAAAAGTTTTCAAGATAATTGGGTCAAAATTTTGTGCCTCATAGATGACTGCATGATCTCATGAGGCAAGCATCCGGAATGTACCACAGCATAGGTGGAGATAAGGTCGGGTCCATTGTTTAGCAGTCTTCTCCATCAGCCAAGCTGGTGGGCTACATCTTTGTCCCTTTAATTCCTTTTAAACCCTCCCCATTACACCCACTGTACATGCTTGGAATACAGTGATGTTTTATAGTGAAATAGTGCTTCAAGTGACTTCAAGTGTTTGTAATGTATTTTTGGTTATATTCACAGAGAAAATATTTGAAATTTCAAATTAATTCAAACAATAATGGAACATGCCTCACAAGGTTCAATATCATGGAAAACATCTAGGAGACGAGGAAACTGCTTCCTACCTCGAAGGATTATATATCAAGCAGTTACAGTGAGAGTGATGGTGACAAGGAAACAAGATTAAGAAAACAGCAAGAATTTGCAAAAGCCTTCCCCTGCCAGTACACAGCCTCCTAACCATCAAGGTTCGTGCTGTGCCCCCTCGTGGCAACACAAGGTAACTGGGTGCCTCATGGGCCTAGGATAGACCAGCAGGGGATCTCAGAGTAGCAGTGGACCCCAGAGGGATGGCGGATAGGCACACTGGCATGTGGACACATCCAGGCGCCTACCAACCACTGTCCTGCTGTCTTGCGGATTAACCTTGGTAGGTATAAGGCTAAGGTAGTAAACCCTGAATGAAAAATCTGCGGTGGAGCCCCGCATCAGGCAGACATGCTTCCAGAGCTTCAACAAGACCCCAACGGCTGTACAGTATTAAGCGGAAAAGGTGACCACCATGGGAATCCAATGAATACAACGGTGGACTAAGGCAATGCATAATGGGCAGGCTACTAAGGCGAAACCCAACAAACTGGGATATCGCAAGTCCATTGTAACTCTCCCTCTACCCAGTTGTTGCAACACTTGCACCACTGAATTAGGAAAAGGGAGAGCCAAGAGGTGTGGTTGCAGTCTGCGCTCTTGCCTCACCACATAAATCAACTCACGTGCAGCCATCATCCAGCTCATCATACTCCTCATCATCAACAAACCCCTATACCCCCAAAAGTCCTATGGCGACGGACGAGTGGCGACGGGGCCAGGAAGAGATGACTGCCTAAAAAAAGCAACCTAACTGGGCAACCGCACCTAGTAAGGTCATCCTTATGGGGTCGAAAACACAATTATAATCCCAGATAAAAAAAACAAACAAACGATACAACCTCTTACGGTCGCTGCATGGAATGTCAGGACCCTTCTGGATACTGGCACAAATGAGTGTTCTGAAAGAAGAACCACCCTTGTGGTAAAAGATCTGGCTAGGTATAACATTGACTTAGCAGCCATTAGTAAGTCCCGGCTCCCAGACGAGGGTCGACTCACAGAACAGGGGTCTGGCTATACCTTCTTCTGGAAGGTTGAGCCTGCTGCTGAGAGAAACCACGTTTATGGAGTTGGCTTTGCCATCTACCAACGCATCCAGCACAAGCTAACTGAAATGCCTGTTGAGATCAACTAGCACCTCATGACGCTCCGAGTCCCACTTAATCACACATGTCATGCCCTTTTCATCAGTGCATACGCCCCAACACTGGATGCAGAGGATGACATCAAGGAGGCCGTTTATGCCGACCTTGACAGAGGGCTAATCTCTATCCCCAGAGAAGTTAAGGTTGTGCTCCCTGGTGACTTCAATGCCAGAGTTGGCAGAGATGCAGACATTAGGCAGGGAGTCATAGGGAGAAATGGACTAGGCAAGTGTAATCCCAATGGCCTACTCCTCCTCAGCAAATGTGCTGCACACAACCTCACTATCACCAATACTTTGTTTTGGCAGGCCAACAAGTTCAAGAGTTCGTGGCAACACCCATGATCCAAACACTGGCATCTCATTGACTACATCATTGTCAGAGAAAGAGATCGCTTTGATGTCTTCATCATCCGAGCAATGCGTGTCAGACCACTGCGACACTGATCATCGGTCTATCAGAGCCAAGCTCTTACTTCACGTCGCCCCAAAACGGCGAAGGCAACAAGCCTCCAGAAGAGGTTTTAATACTAAGCATCTGGAGGTTCCAGCAGTAGCACATGCTTTCAGAGAGCAGCTTGAACATGGGATGATAAACAACCCGACAACAAGCAACCCAAATCCCAGTGCCGAATGGGATATTCTTGACACTGTCATGACAAAAACCTGCAGAGAAACCCTCGGCCAGATCGAAAGAAGACACCAGGACTGCTTTGATGAAAATGACCCGGAAATCAATGTACTCGTCGATGATAAACGTGCTGCTTTAACTGACTGGCAGAAAAACCCACAGTCTCGGACCAAAGCTGATACCTTCTGCAAGAAGAAAGCGGCGGTCCAACGCGAACTTCGCAAACTAAAGAACGGCTGGTTTAAAACTAGAGCATGTGAAATGCAAAATTTGAAGATCAACACATGATGCGCAAATTATTAAATTCCACTAAAATATTTTATGGGCCAATCACTCATGGATCAGCCCCTCTCCGCTCATTTGACGGTAACTCCCTAATTAAAGACGAAGAAAGCATCCATCAGCGCTGGAAAGAGCACTACCATTCACTGCTCAACCGAAACACCAATGTGGATGTCCTGACTACCCATCAGGTCCCTCAGCATCCAGAGCTGACCCACCTAAGCTATCTTCCATCCCTGGATAAGGTAGCTACTGCCATCAAACAGATGAAAAATAACAAAGCCTCAGGGCCTGATGGAAACCCAGCCAAGCTGTATAAAGCAAGAGGATCTCTGCTTACCAACCGTCTCCATTCTCTCCTGGAGAATATATGAGAAAAGGATGAAATTCCCCAAGCTCTTATGGACTCCTCCATCATCAATATTTATAAGAACAAGGGAGACCAGTCAGACTGTGGCAACTACCGTGGAATCTCGCTGCTCTCCGTAGCTGGCAAGATCATCGCCCGAGTCCTCCTAACCTAAACAGACTTCTTCCTAAGGAGAAAAACTTCCTCCCAGAATCTCACATGTGGCTTTAGATCATCACATGGCACCACTGACATGATCTTTGCTGCCCGCCAGATTCAGGAAAAGTGCAGAGAACAGCGTTGCGACCTAACCAAGGCCTATGACTCGGTCAACAGGGAAGCCCTCCGGCGGACCCTCAGCCGTTATGGCTGCCCACCAAAATTTATTGCCATTGTGAGGCAACTCCACGATGGCATGAATGGCACCCAGTCTGAGTTTTTCCCCATCCAAACGGGGTCAAAACAAGGATGTGTACTGGCGCCTACTCTTTTTTCCATTTTCTTGGCTGCCTTCTTTACTCGTGCCATTGTCAATTTAGCTGACAGGGTGGACACCGAGTACCGGATGAAAGGTCTTTTCAACATAAGACGACTCCAGGCAGGAACAAAGGTGTCGGCAGCTTCCATTACTGAGCTTCAGTATGCAAACGACCTCACCCTTGTTGCTCACAATGAATGCGACCTACAGGAGATCCTGAACACCTACACAGATGCATATGCACACTTTGACCTTGAGGTGAATGTACGTAAGACTCAGATTCTTTTTCAGCCTAACCCTGGTTCAGCCACACCTCCACCATCCATCCAATCTTAACGGTACTACCCTCTCTATTGTTACCTACTTTCGGTATCTCGGTTCCCACCCGTCCACCACTGCGGACATCGATGAAGAGATTCAGCACTGGATCAGATGTGCACCTCATGCTTTTGGCAGACTCCGTACACGTGTCTTCAGCTGTAGGGAGCTGAAATTATCTACAAAGTTGCACGTATATCAAGCAGTGGTCCTCCCCACCCTGGTACAGGGTATATGGTAGCAAGACATGGGTTACATACAGGAGGTACCTGAAGGCACTTAGAAACTTTCACCAACGTAGTCTATGTTCCATCCTCCGAGTTTGCTGGGAAGACAAGAGAACATATACCAGTATTCTCGCTGACACCAAGTGTAGGAGCATCAAGTATACCATTTTCCATGAACAACTAAGTATGACTGGCCATGTTACCCACATGTACGACAGTAGACGCTAAAGAAGCTACTTTACAGTCACCTAACGAATAGTAAATGTAACACTGGCAGGCAACTGAAAAGGTATAAGGATTGTCTTAAGACGAGCCTGAAAAAGTGTCAAATCGACCACCTCACCTGGGAGATGATTACTCCACACCATAACGCTTGAAAGAGCACCGCACAAGAAGGTGTCAATACTTTCAAATTAGCTCGACTGCGAACAGAGGCAGGCAAATGTCAACGCCGAAAAGACGCTGCTGGCGCCCCTCACGCAGTAGATGGAACCCTCCACATGTGCAACATCTGTGAACGACCCTGCCAGTCCCATATCGGCCTCTCTAGTCACCTTTAAACTCACCAACGAAGGACATCCTTAATTACTCATATCATTGCCTTGTAGCTGGATGATCGTCATAATCAATTCTGAGTAACAGCAAAGTAGTATTAGTAGTAGTAGTATATGTGTGTGTGTGTGTGTGTGTGTGTGTGTGTGTGTGTGTGTGTGTGTGTGTGTGTGTGTGTGTGTGTGTACCAATGATCCCTTGCAGCATCATTTTTCTTTGTGGCTAGATTGCCCATAACCCTACTTTGTGGGGGCCCCCTTTAATCTACCACTGGTGGTGATGGCCACTGTCCCTACAGCTAAATTCCACTGATGATGGCCACTGTCCCTGCAGCTAACTTCCACTGAAGATGGCTGCTGTCCCTACAGCTAACTTCCACTGATGATGGCTGCCATCCCTGCAGCTAACATCCACTGATAATGGCTGTAATCCCTACAGCTTACTTTCACTGATGACAGCCACTGTTCCTACAGCTTACTTCCACTAATGATGGCTGCTGTCCCAACAGCTAACTTCCACTGATGATGACTGCTGTCCCTAGAGCTAACTTCCACTGATGATGGCTGCCATCCCTGCAGCTAACATCCACTGATAATGGCTGTAATCCCTACAGCTTACTTTCACTGATGACGGCCACTGTTCCTACAGCTTACTTCCACTGATGATGGCTGCTGTTCCAACAGCTAACTTCCACTGATGATGGCTGCTGTCCCAACAGCTAACTTCCACTGATGATGGCTGTCATTTAAGGGATAATAAATTACTTAACAAAAATCTCTACTTACCATAAATCCAAAGAACATGGCACCAGCAGATAAAAAGTGCCAAATGTCATGAGTATCATAGAAGTGTAACAAGACACACTCCTGGTTATACTGGCGGCTGTGTGCTGGTGTTAACTCCCAAGTGGTCGTGTGATGAGTATAAAAGAAGATGGCTGCTCCCCAACTTAACAGACACAGGACCAGGTACACAAGTGGCTGGAACTGTATTCTTTCACTGTGTCGTAGCTGCAAACATTTGTAACATGAGTACTTGTTAAGAAGAGCAACTGATACAAAAGTTCAGGGAAAACTGTATACACAGGGTCCTTGTATGCCCAACACACATTTCCACCATTATTTTATGACATTAAAACAATCTTCACCAAATAAAATAAAATAACAGTAATGATTTAAGTACTCACCCGCAAAAGAACACAGGCTCATCACTTAACATTGGTAATGATTTTGCAATATTATTACCTCCAGAAAGTTTGTACAGTTGTACCCCACTTAACGCGGTCAATAAAACCCACAGGGTACCTTGTTAAGTGAAAACCGCGTTAAGTGAACAACAGAACATATGGGATTAATTCCAATAGAAACTGGCCCATCCCCAAACTCCACTTTTTCCGACACAATACCTATGTTCTAGTAAAAATAACATCTTAATTTTATGATGGTACATGCACACAATTAATACTTAAGAGAAATAGAGAAATATAGTCGCCAAGTTAATGTCCATTCAAATAATGGACTCGACTCCCTCCCCCTCTTCTCACACTACACTCGCTGGCTCTTCCCTCTGAGAAATTTTTGGGGGAAAACCAGGTATAGTAATAAATAATTCCTCAAACTAAAGTTAGGATAATATAATTGACATTGCTGGATTCCTTGTAAGACCAGGAATATTTTGAATACAAATGTCATATATTTTTCACAAAAGATAACATATTTACTCAGAATAAACTTTACATCTAAAATTTGTATGTCTAATGCAAAATCTATGATGTTTATATTCAAAATGATCACCAAATTGTAAGAATTCCAGCAATGTAAATTATATTCTGGCCGGATAATTTGTATGAATTTTATGAGCTAAAACAAATATCTTCAGTTAATAAAAAAAAAAATATTCTTCACGACACTATCTGTCAATCAAAGTACCCCACCTTGCCTTCCCCCCTCTTCCAACCGCGCGGTCAGTCCCAACCCTCCCCCCCACCCCCCACCAATCCTCCCTTCAAGAGTTTTTAACATTTAGTATTAAATAATACCTCAGATTAAAGTTAGGATAATATAATTGACATTGCTGGATTCCTTGTAAGACCAGGAATATTTTGAATATAAATGTCATATATTTTGCACAAAAGATAACATATTTACTCAAGAGTAAACATTACATCTAAAATTTGTATGTCTAATGCAAAGTCTATGATGTTTATATTCAAAATGATCATCAAATTATAAGAATTCCAGCAATGTAAATTATATTCTGACCGGGTAATTTGTATGAATTTTATGAGCTAAAACAAATATCTTCAGTTAATAAAAAAAAAAAAAATATTCTTCACTGTAACAGATGGTCGGTCGGTCCCTCCCTCCCCCCCACCCCCGACCAACCGTCTCACCAGATGTGTGGGAAAACCAGAATATTTACCTTTTAGTAATAAATAATACCTCAAACTAAAGTTAGGATAATATAATTGACATTGCTGGATTCCTTGAAAGCCCAGGAATATTTTGAATACAAATGTCATATATTTTGCACAAAAAATAACATATTTACTCAGAATAAACTTTATATCTAAAATTTGTATGTCTAATGCAAAATCTATGATGTATATATTCAAAATGATCATCATATTGTAAGAATTCCAGCAATGTAAATTATATTCTGGCTGGGTAATTTGTATGAATTTTATGAGCTAAAACAGGCAGTCAGGCAGGGTGGCAGGTGGGGGGAATCTAAAAATAGCTCTCGAGCCGGACACTCACCGTGTATATGTGGAAAAAACCCACGTTAAGTGAAAGTTCAGCTCTGGCGAGGCACCGCGTATATGGTAAAACGCGCTAAGTGAAACCGCGTTAGGCGGGGTAATACTGTATATAAAAAAGTCTATACTGAATTGCATAAATTACTATATTTATTCAAAACAAACCCAACAGACACTAAGATATAAAGATACAAATCTATACAGATTTCACTACACTACCTTTCAGACTATTGCTTGCCATTTCCACTTTTCTCAACGCAACATAGAGTTTCCTTTAAATACTTTTCCTTCAGATTCCAGTCTCTCCGGGGAAAAAGGGTATATATTACAAGAAGACAATAAAAGGAAGAGAATAATAATAATACAGGTTGACAATCCCTTAACCGAAATCCTTGGAATCAGAGGCATTTCGGAATTTTTCGGTTTACAGAATGGTTAATTTTGTGTGTGTGTGTGTGTGTGTGTGTGTGTATTAGCCTACCCGGGCACAAGTCACTGACCCACATTGGGGCCTGGGTGGCGAAAATATAATAAAAATTATAATAACAATAACAATGCATAGGTCTAGGTCGTGTTTCTCACTTTTGATCTTTTTTTTCATTCTTGTATTTCTTTATTATAATTATTATTTTATTATTACAGTATTATTGTTATTATTATTATTATTATTATTAATTTTATTATCATATTTTATTATTATTATTATTATTATTATTATTATTATTATTATTATTATTATTATTATTATCATTATTATTTTATTTTGGTGTATTTTTTATTAAAATTTTTATTTACTATGAATAATTATTATAATTATTATTACTATTACATTTTTGCCCCCAGGCCCCGATGTGGGTCAGTGATCTATGCCCGGGTGGGCTAGGCTGGGTTTGGTTAGGTTAGGTTGGGTTGAGAATTCCACCCTGAATTGGTCTCATATAACCCAAAGAAGGTGTAAAGTCCATTTCAACATAACTCTAGATTGCTAGTAAGACCGGAAGGTCAACATTCCGGAAGGAACGCTTAGTCTAGCAGCCTCGCTAAAGTTCGCTTGAACCTGCTACTGAGGACATCAAAGTTATGAAGAGACAAACTCAACTCTGGCCTTTTTTGCTGAGAACAAATAGAAACCCAAGGGTGGAAGCCCAAAGGTTTTGTGAAGTACATAAGAGTAGGGAGAGAGACAGTCATTGTATTCATATTAGCACGTGAATAATTGGGACAGAGAGATCGTAACCAATATACATATATACAGTATGTATACAGTATATATAAATAGATATATTCAAATATTCTCTTTTAGTGAAGATGAGCCCGGGAGGGTGCAGCGACATTCACTGAGTGACTTAAAGGCAAGGAATAGTCACAACGATCTAAACGACTCACAAAGAAAATGTGTTTTGGTCGCCATGCTGACCCAAAGTCGTATAAGAAGATGTCCCAAATACAATAATTGAAAGACATAATAAAATAAAAGTCACTCTACTTCATCACTGTGCTATTAAGTACAAATACCGTATATAATATCCTTGCGGAGGTGAGTATTTCAGCAATTAGAACACAAATTCGCGGAGCTTCCCTTTGTGTGTTTTATAGCTGAATCGCCAGGCAAGAGATGAGCTTCGCAGTGCACATGGAGGCTGGTTTGAGGGAAGGACTTTCAAAATAGCAATTAAATGCCAGGTAGCGACGTGTCCTCCTAATATTACTTATTAAGTACCGTATATACTCGTCTATAACCCCCATTCGTATATAGGTCGACCCCGATTTTTTGACCAAGAAATCGTTAATTTATGATATTCCTCGTTTATAGGTCGACCCAAGTTTTTGAGGGTAAAGGAACAAACAAACCTTCAGAAAAACACTACATCCTATAAACTTGTTTACCATTTATTATTACGACACTTTACACTGAAACGCGGGTAGTTTCAACAAAAATATTGTATATTTCCATTCAAGTATTTATTCAAGTCAATTAGGAGGGAATATTATTGTAATACAATAGTTTTTTAACTGAAACCATTCGAAAAGCAATTACGGTAACATATTTTGAACAAAAGAAAGCAAAAGTCATTGTTTTCGTCACAATTTTATCCCACTTTCCACTGTAATACGTATGTCATTTCAGCAAAAAATATTACATTTCCGTGAATGTATTATATCAACCACAGTATAAATAGAATATCACCAATATAACAACATTTTAACTGAAAACTATTAAAAAAATGAGTAACATATCTTGAACATCGGAAGGTTTGGTAAAGTCTTTTGTTTTCATCATGTAGTTTATCCTAATTTACATTGAAATACATCATGTTTCGGCAAAACTACTATTTATTTCTGAGAATATGGAAATGTAATATTTTTGCTGAAATGACGTACGTATTATAGTGGAAAGTGGGATAAAATCATGACAAAAACAATTACTTTCGCTTTCTTTCGTTGAAAAGATGTTACCGTAATCGCTTTTCGAATGGTTTTCAGTTAAAAACTGTTGTATTACAATAATGTTCTATCCTAATTCACTTGGGATGTAACAGTTTTTTAACTGAAAACGATTCGAAAAACACGTGTACCGTCTAGCTGATACGGCAGAGCCCTGGTCGCAGAGGCTTTGTGTTTGCATCGGCCCTTCTTTAGCAGCTTTTAATTTTAGCGTACGATGAAATTGTGTTTACCGGTATATTCTTATTTTCTTGCTTCTTATTTTCCAGAAATATGACAAGTTTGTATATAATACAATGTTACGGTACTTTTAATTTACAAGTATTCATTTTTAAAAATACAGAAGACACCAAACAAATACCAGTACTACGGTTATTTGCGTGACTCTCCCGCCAAAAAAGACCAAACAGCTGGTACTCTCTCCCTCAGCCCTACCAAAAATAGCCCAACGACATCTTTCTTGTTTATTCTCTTCCAATTTCTCACTTTAACTGGTATTTTTTACTTCATATTGCCTACATCAGATAAACTACAGTAATTGAGGTTAGACACTGTTATAAATTTGATTACCGGGTCCTGGCAGGTGCCGTTAGAACCACCTGACCCTACCAACAGTGTTGCAAGTCAGACAGCATTTTTTTAATCATCCATGTGCACGAGAAAGGATGGATGGATGAAGGCAGCATACAAATATGGCTTAAAAAAGTCTGGAACTTTAGACCAGGGGGACTGCGCAAAGAAAAAAGTCTTTTTGTGTGGGATATGTTTCGGTCACATCTTGTTGACAGTGTTACTGCTGGGATTAGG